CAAGGTCTAACACAGAGTAGAAAGATTTTATCCATTTGTATTCATGTTTTCTCAACAGATCTATGTTGCGTACAATAGCATGGATAAGAGGCATCAACTTAGATAGTTCTCTACTATCTTTTTGGGGTCATTCTGTATCCTGGGGATTTGGCATGGAGCCTTCCTACATTTCCTTATCCTTGAAAATGTGTTTTCATTGGATCTGGCTCAAGTTGATCGACCCTGCACAGGGCCAAGGAGGAACAGGGTCCCTCTTGCCCCTCCTGCACCTGTTGGTTCCCTGCATCAGGTAGGCCCTGGGTCTGCCTCCTGGCTGTAGCCATATCTGTTGTCTCTCCATTGGCCACACCTGGATGCTGGGGAAGGCCCTGGTTGGGCAAACTGCCTCCATCCCTAGAATAATCTTTCCCAGGAGAGAAATGTACCTTGTTTAATCTTTGGAGGTCCTTATCTACCCCTGGGGCAGTTTTTTTTATCTTCTATTTGCTCTTTGTGAACTATTCTTCAGGATTTAAAGCCTTCCAGAAGCTCCTTAGCACATAATTGGGCTCTTTGTCAATTTTTTTCTTTAGGAACTTGGGCTAGACACCAATCTTGCCACATTTTCCTTTGAGTAACCCAAATGGACCTCTTTCTCTGCTTTTTTTTTTTAATATCTCTTTTAGGTTGCTCTATTATTTTAAAGATATATTTTACATGCTATTCTAAGTCACTTAGATCTTCCAAAGCCTCTCCTACTTCAAAAGATCCTTCCCTACTAAGGACTCAGCAAAGCTATTAAAACACAATACCAATCTCAAGATTCTTGCTGAATCAAGTTCCTCTTTAAATCTCTGGTGAACACAGTCCTATCTAGCCCAGTGAACTGGGCATCATATTGCTTTCTTCACATCTAGTTCTCTCAGTAATGCCTGTTTCTCCTCTATGGTCCTCCAGTCCCTGATATCCATGGGCACCTCCATTGTTGATGACCAAGTATCTTTAATGGCTCACACAAACCTTTCCATCAGGAACTACTCCCCCCCGTACTGCCTCAAGTTATGCAGCCTATGTCTCAAGGAGGGATGGGTGTTTATAGTGCTCAGCTTTAATGCTTCTGCAGCACTTAAACTAATATCATATGCTCCCACGTCCCATATCCTCACAAGCCATGTGATGAGAGGCTCCTTCATTGTTTCTTTGAAAGTCTTCTCTAGTTCCAACAGCTTCAGTGTGGAGTATTCTCTGATGGCTATAGTTTCTCGCAGCCTCCATCAGCATGTTGAAACATGGATTTTTCTTTTCTTTGTACTAAAGGTTGAACCTGAGGGGCATTTTTAGCTATTTCTAGGTTTCTCCCTTCTTCATCACTATCTGCCTTCTCCCATGGTTTCCATGTTTTAGGGTTCCAGGATGAGCCTTGTATTATCAATCTAATCTGGGATCTCTTCCCTTTCTGGCCCCCTAGCCATAAAAAATGGCAAGCTAGTCTCCATCGCTTTTTCTCTCTTATGCAATTTACTGTCAAGGTCAGAGGACAATACTGAAGAGGCCAGCCTCGTGTCTCTTTCTTACTATAATTCCTCTCTTACATACTTAGTACCTCCCCCATGTACCACTCAGGCCAGCTGGTTGGATGGAAGACATGATTGACTTTCTCTGCCCCTCCCCTCCTATGGAGCATCCATAGTCAAGTTTGTTTGTGGTGACTGCAGCAAGTGGGTGAATCCAAGCTTGAGAAGGCATCTGTCCATAGCTTGCCAGTCTAGCTTGCCAGGCAGAAGACAAGTCCATCTAACTGCAGGGGATACTGGACTGCATAAAATAGAAAAGATGAACTGAGCACTAGCACACATTGTCATGGTTTGAATGAAAATTTCCCCCATAGTCTCCAAGTATTTGAGCATTTTGTTCCCAGTTTGTGCTGCTGGCTTGGAAGGTCTTGAAAGGTGTGGTCATGCTGGGGACAGGCTTACAAAGTTCTTAAGCCTTGCTGGATCTCCGGTCACACTCTGCCTCCTGTGCCTGCTTGAAGATGTGAGAGTTGGCTTCTGCTCCACTCCAGCCACCTCTGCCACCATGCCTCCCCATGATGGACTCTTGCTCCTTTGGAATCATAAGCTAAATAAACTCTTCTTTTTATAAGTTCCCTTGGTCATGATGTTTTCTATCACAACAACAGAAAAGTAACTAAAACACACATACTTTCAATGCTTTCTTCTTACTTCCAACATAACATGACCATATGCTTCAAGCTCCTGCTGTTTGACTTTCCATCTTGATGGACCAAGTGTGTCATGACAAATTTTTCTCTGAGAGACCCGCATGCACTCTCTGGGATCCCAGGGTCACATGGTCCTAACATGAATAGACAAACCACCAGAATGCCCTCTTAAATTACAGTTTGGGGAATAAGAATGTTTATTTGGGTTTGCCAACAAGGTTTTATGCTATTCAGGAGAGGGTCACTTACAAAGGCATGAACTCTTGTGGGCTCTTTCTCGCTCATATTTGAGATCCAAGCTATCCAAAATGGCCACTGCCCCACCCTTCTTCCCAGTGTCCTTAGTGCTTTCCAGCATTCTCAACATCTGTCCTTAGACCCTCCTCCTCTGCAATTGAAGCTGACTGATTGGGTGGGAGGAGTGAGTGTCTCAGAAGACAAGCCTACCCAACAAAGTGTGAGCTAAAATAGACAATTTCTCCCTTAAGTTGCTTTTGTCAGTGTATTAAAAAAATTTTGAAATAGCGGCATGAATATTATGGAAGTAACCAACCATTTTCTAATTCGATTTAAGGTCTTATTCATAAGATGGAGCCCATACCTGTCATTGATATCAAGCCTAGCAACCTATGGCTGGACAGGTCACAGGACCTAAGGGAGAACCTAATACTGTTATTCTGCTAACTATATATAGTATTAAATTGAGTCCTAATGACCTATTGTTATACCCATAGATTCATACATCTCTCAACTCTCACCAGAGAAGCTTCCTTCTGCAGCAGAGACATACAGCTGGCCAGTGTGCAGAGAATAAGAGGATATAGAATGCTTATCCCTGAATAGGACACCTATATCAAACCTCTGCTTCCCAAGGTTCAGGGATCACTGTGGAAGAGGGGGTAGAAGAGTTCAAGAGCCAAAGGTGGTAGATGACCACAAGCAAACAGTTTTCCAGACACTGGTCAGTTACTCACACAAACTCAAAGCAATGGTGATAGCATGCACAAGTCCCATATAAGCTCAAGCCAGACAAAATCCCAGCACAGAGAAAGGGAAGTGGGTAAGAAACTCCAACACTACCAGTGGAACTGTTGGCCACTGATGGCTGCTAGGAGGGGAAGAGTCAGTCTGGTTTAAGGGTGAGACTGTTAAACAGGCTCTGGTGGATGAACCCCACACAGGAGAGCATTTGGGCCACAAATTTGACACTGAAATTATTAACAATTCAATAAAAATTTTAAATGTTATTTATTTGTATGTGTGCATTCATGTGTACACACACACACATACATACACATACACACACACACACAATGTGCTTGCATGAGCTCATGCACACAAAGGCTATTGAACTATCTAACCACCCACTGGCTCTTTGAGTTTGAGTTTGTTTGATATTTTTGAGACAGAGTCTTCTTATAGCCCCAGCTAGCCTGGATCTCAGAGATCTGCCTGCCTCTATATCCTGAGTGCTGGGATTAAGGGAGTGTGCCACCAAGCCCAGCTCCTGAGTTTATCAAAGCTTTGGGAAAAGGAAACCTAGACACTTACTTTTTTTTAATTAAACATTTTATTTATTATTTTTATTTTATTATGAATATGAGCATATTGCCTGCATGTAGGTAGGTGCACTCGCATTGTGCAGTGCCTGAGGAGGTTAGAAAAGGGCGTTGGATCCCCTGAAACTGGAGTTATGGATGGATTTTAGCTGCCATGTGGGTTCTGGGAATCTGGGAATCAACCCCTGGTCCTCTGCAAGAGCAGCCATTGCTCTCTTGGGGCTGGAGAGATGGCTCAGTGGTTGAGACTGACTGTTCTTGCAGAGGACCCGGGTTCCAGAACCTTCATGGCAGCTAACAACCATTGGTAACTCCAGTTCCAGGGGATCTGATAACTTCTGACCTCCACAGGCATTACACGACGCAGGTGCATGGTGCACATAAACACATGGAGGCAATACACTCAAACACATAAAAATAATAAATAAATAAATAAATAAATAAATAAATAAACGAATAAAAAGAGCAGCCAGTGCTCTCAGCTGCTGAGCCATCTCTCCAGCCCCCTAGACATTTAACTTTTAAAGTATTTCTGATATGGTTAGGATTCTTTGCTAGCTTTTCAAATTTTTACAAGTCTGAAAAACCATAACCCTTTTACAGTGGTACTATAACTTTGCGCTTGCTTTCTAAGAGTCCTAAGGCTTCGGGAAAGAAAAGCAAACGCTGGGTAGTCAGAACCAAGCTCCTTTACAGACAGTTCCAGGCCCCCTGGAGTTTAGGAAAAAAGCCATGTTTAAATATAAGGTATTATTCTGATTATGTGATATAACCTTACATCGACCACGAATTTACATACTTGAGGAATAAACACAGATTACCAGAAAATGCATTCGGTGGGCTCTGTATTTAGATGGCGTATTTCTGCAAACCTCCGTATGGCATAATTGCTGCTCTCAAACCCATTCTCTGCTGGACAAAATTCTCTAGGCGGAGAGCACAGGGACCAGCACCCGGGAAGCCAAGGCGCGGCGCGGCGCGGCGCGGCGCGGCGTATCTGGAGGCAGAGTTCCAGTGGATTCCAGGGTTCCAGCCCCGCCCCGCCCCTCCTCCAGCCCTGAATTTAGGATTTAGGACTTCCGGTCTCCACCCCCCC